CCTGATATGACCAGGCACAGTGCTAAGCAGTCAGCGAGTTCCCAAATAACTCTAGGCAGGCTTGTTCTCAAGGTGCTTCTGAGCAGGACAAGGGGATTAAAAAAATAAATTAACTCATTCAAGGAAGAATGTAATAAATGCATGAGAATACCATTGACGTTCAGTGGAGAGGAAATTCCTTTTTATTTTTATTTTATTTTATTATTTTTTAAGATTTTATTTGTTTATTTGACGAGAGACATCATAAGTAGGCAGAGAGGCAGGCAGAGAGAGAGGAAGAAGCAGGCTTCCCGCTGAGCAGAGAGCCCAATGCGGGGCTCGATCCCAGGACGCTGGGATCATGACCTGAGCCAAAAGCAGAGGCTTTAACCCACTGAACCACCCAGGCACCCCAGGAAATTCCTTTTTAAAAGGGAATAAGGGATGTGGTGGCATTTGGGCTGGACCTTGAAAAAGAGGGTGCTTGCCCTGACAAGCGAGCAAAGCAGGGGTTGTAGGCAGAGAGAATGTCATCAGGAAAGCTGTGAGTGCTTGGAACGTCGGGGTTTTGTTTGGCTGGAGCATAAGGCTAGGGGTCCGATGAGATACAGGAGGCAGGAGGAAGGCCTGAACCCCTGGGGGAGCTATGATCTGGGGAAAGGGTAGAGCCGGGTCATCAGAAGATAGATCCTGAAGCAGTAAGAACCCAGGAGCTAAAAGGCAGCAGAATTGAAGAAGTAGGGGGAAGGAAGAGGCAGACAGGTCCCCGGGAGCCTCTTACAAGTCAGGTAATGCAGGCTGAAGAAGCCTGATGGAAACGTGGAGGGAGAGGGGGAGGCAGCACATCTAGAATGCTCAGCAATGTGGAAGGTGAGAGAGGGAGAGACAGCCGGCAGAGAAGACTGAGAGATGATCTTCTGGCGGCTGCGACTGGAGGGACAGTGATGCTGTTCGTAGCCCATAGTTGAGAGGAGTGTCATGTTTGTGGGAGAAAGAGTGATAACTCATAATTTGAGCCAGCCAGAAAAAGCCCGGGAGATGCTGGAAAAGTGGGTCCGGAGGTGCACTCAGCAGTGGAGCTGGAGAGAGAGGCACTGGACCAACCCTTCTTCACCTGCCAGTGCCTGCAGTCGTGGCAGTGGGGGGAGCAGGAGCCCTGTGACCTCGAGGAGAGAGATGAGGGGATTGCTGGGAGCCGGCTGCACGGTGGGGTTGTTTGCCAGAAGAAGTGAAGGAAAACTGGCGAGGTGCAGGACGTCTTCCAGCCCTGTCCCCAAGCCTGGGAGATGAATCTGACCAGGAAGAGGGAAGAGAATGCTGGAGAGAAAGCATTCAAGAAAACTGCCTTTAGTGGACTGACCTTGCCTGCTGGTCTCGGAGTAATCCAAGTCCTCTAAGATTATTATAGTCTACTTCGTTTTTCCTTCTTTTTTCCCTCTCCTTCCTTCCCTTCTTCCTTCCTACACATCCACATTTTTGGACTGGCCTAGTGCATGGGTGGCCACTGTTGACCTAAGGAGGAATTAGGATTCACCACTGTCACCTACAAAGAGGTACTGTCTTTTCAATATTTGCCTTTACAGCTGATTGTGTAGGGATTGCCTCTCTGCTCCACTATTACAATGTTTGGGGTCTTTTAAAACATGAAATTTATATTTGCAATATGACAACATTAAAGTTTTTATAACTCTCTCTCTCTCTCTATATATATATATGTATAAAACTTCTAACTTCTTTCTCTGTACTGCTCTGGAGAGCCACTCATAGTATCTTGGTAACTGTAGAGGGTCCCAGGGCCAGAGACTGGCCACTCCTGGCATTGTGATTAGAGTCATTTAATACCCAAGGCCATGACTAATGTCTGGCAACAAAGGTTCCACTAGGTGTCACGTGTCCTGGGACCTTGGGTGAGGGCACAAAGGGAACACCTCATTATTGTGTGTCAGTACCACGGTCGGGAGAAAAGTTGAGGACCAGGTGGGTCCATCCAGGACACCACTGTGGTATGCGAGCCCCCCCCTTCCCCGTGATCAATGCCGGTACACCCAGAAAGCCTAAAATCCATTTAAAACAGAGGTACCCACCTTTGTCTTATCTTCATACCCCAGGCTTTTAATAATATATTTTTTTCTGTATGTTTACAGAAAGCAGTCAACTGAGCTATTCGTGGAAAGGTTTGTGGGTTTGATTAACGAGGTGGAGGAGTATTACATTTCAGCTGGAAACACATCCCTAGAATGCCAAAACATTTATTCCAAAGTCTGGTTTCCTGGTGCAATCGGAGGCACGGCAATAGTGTGTCTGTTCAGAGACTGGGGTAGGGGGGTGGGGGGGAGGTGGGGGGAGGGCTGGGGCCAGCAAGGCATCTGATCCAAGTGTATTCCAGAAGGCTTTTATTGTTAAATTATATTCTTCAGGAAAAACCACCCATGTCACATTTTGTAAATTTGATATCCATACACTTTTGACTGGCATTCTATTTTAGCCATAAGCCTATGATTTACAGCAAGCCTGTTTTCCCTCTTGCTTAGGGTGGCAGCAGAAAGGATGGGGTGCTTTCCAGGCTCCGAGGATAAGGAACAAGGGGGTTGGGGTTTTGTTTCCCCCCAAGAAGACTGACTCTAGGCATGCCACTCCGCGCCCCCCAGCAGACAGCAAGCGTCCCCTCGCTCCCCACTGCCAATCATGCAGCTCAGCGCTGCAGCCCAGCTGCTGTGTTTGCCGGGAGGGGCTGCCCAGTGCCCTGCCTACTGGCTGCTTCCCGTATCCCTGCCATTCCACACACAAACACATCCACACACGCTCTGCCTCGCTCACACACGGAGCTACGCGCACATGCGAGCACACTCCTTCCTTCCCTCTCACTGCCTCAGCCCTTGACTTCTACAAGCCCATGGAACATTTCTGGAAAGACGCTCTGGATCCAGCAGGGTAGGATTGTTTTGATTTCTGTCTTTGTAGCTTTAGCATTTTGAGAAAGCAACTTACCTTTCTGGCCAGTGTCTGTATCCTAGCAGGGAGATGAGGATTCGCTGTGTGCATCTCCGTTTTCTTCCAGGACTTGGAGGATTCTTTGTGTAATTCATGTGTAATTTGGCGGGTGCTGATTTTTAAGAGCCCTATGAAGTGCTTTTGCATGTGTTTAAAAAAGACATTTGAAAATTGAAAGTGTGATTTATGGAAACGAAATCATCTGTAACAAAATTGCTTTGGAAAGTAATGGTTGCTGGCCATAAAGAGAAATATCTGTGATTCACCTAATGTATTTTTAACCCTTTCTTTGCTTACAATCTGTGGTTATTGATGCTAAGCTCAATTTTGTCTTCATAGTAAACCAACTACATCTGCATAGTGTCCAAAAATGGTCTGTTTGTTCTTGTAAGAACTAGGTGAAACGTATACTTATTAGTATAAAAAATTTAAAAAAAATTACTGTTGGTAACAGCAACCGTGGCATTTATATGTGCCATGAACATTTTGTTAGGTGCTCTGTTGGGTGTTTGGGATAGCAATTAAAGCAAAGCATTAGTGGTCATATCAGATAGTTGTATCAGACTCTATTAGGCTGTTGCAAAGGAAGTTTATTAAAAAGTATAAACTCTCCAGGATTGTGGGTACATAATATATTTACCATATCCCACTTGTGTACGTACATACATATATTGTTTGTGTGTGTAGGCTTAGATTTTTCATTCTGTTCAAAACTTTTTTCTATTCCTTTTTCATCTGAATATTTGATTCTGCATATCCTAGTGCAGTGAATGGAGAACAGATTTTGCATATCCTAGTGCAGTGTATGCAGAATCGAATTGCAGGAGTAAAGAACAGAAACGTAGCACTGCATTTCAAAATTTGTTGGTTAGACCAACAGTGTAACAGAGGGACCAAGGATTCAGCTCATGAACTGAGGTTACATTTGTATGGAAAGGTCACAATTCATATTAAACTTTCTGAAGTTTTGGTTGCATAACCTGTGGAAGACACAGACACCCATGCGTGCCTAACCAAAGGTTTTTGTGAATCATCATTCACATGAGAATTCATAATGGGAGCAAGTACAGTAGTGTGTTCCAACACAAACATACCAGTAAGTCTGGGAGCATCTTAGAAGGTCCTGGCTAGAGGGGACCACTCGGGGAAGTTCGCAGATGAGGAAACTGAGGGCAGGCACCATTCTTCTGCTTGCAAAGCACAGTTCTTTCTATAGGTACACCTTGACTCTCCACAACCTCCTCCCTCTCCCCACTTCTCCCCAGATGTCTCCTCTCAGTCCCCGCAGCTGCTAAATATAGCTGTCTGGCGGTGGCCGCACAGGCAGCCCCACAGCCCATTCTATCTGCCATATCTCAGTTACAGAGTGGCCCTCCCCAGGGTCATTCTATGTACACACTACATACTTCCAGCCAACGAGGAGAGGGAATCAAACAGAAAAAGAGACAAACAGAGATAGATAGGAGTCTGGCATGGGGCACATAAGGCAGCACGTGGAGAAAGCCGGCCCCTGGATTAGTCTTGCGAGTTTGTTTTAAACCTCGTCCTCCCCGGGCCACCTTTAGGAGATCCCTCTGCGCCCCCGCCCTCCCGCACGGAAATTTAGCTTCCATCCAGCAGCGACGAGTAAAGTAAAGTTCAGGGAAGCTGCTTTTTGGGATCGCTCCAAAACGAGTTGCGCCTGGAGTGATGTTTTAAACCAATGTCAGTGCGAGGCAACAGCCCCTGGCTGGCTTCCAGTACCTTTGTAATGCATATGAGCGCGGGAGATCGGTACTTAAAGTTGGAGACTCTTGGAGCCCGGGAGTTTGCTGAGCGCGCTCGCGCCGGGCTGCACTTGATCGCGTCTGGGCGCCCGGCTTCCACCGGACGGGCCGGCTCCCCCGGCAGGGCCAGAGCTCGCTTCGTGGCGGGACATGCGCTGCACCGCCTCTAACCGCGGGCTCTGCTCTTCTTCTAGGTGGCCGCTCGGCTGCTGAGCCCTCTGCCCGGAGGGGAGACAGTGCGCGCCTTGCCCGCGGCCACTGACCATGACCATGACCCTCCACACCAAAGCGTCCGGAATGGCCCTGCTGCATCAAATCCAAGGGACCGAGCTGGAGCCTCTGAACCGCCCGCAGCTCAAGATCCCCCTGGAGCGGCCCCTGGGCGAGGTGTACGTGGACAGCAGCAAGCCCGCTGTGTACAACTATCCCGAGGGTGGCGCGTACGACTTCAACGCCGCGCCCGCCGCCTCCGCGCCGGTCTACGGCCAGTCCGGCCTCTCCTACAGCCCCGGGTCCGAGGCAGCGGCGTTCGGCGCCAACGGCTTGGGGGGCTTCCAGCCGCTCAACAGCGTGTCTCCGAGCCCGCTGGTGCTGCTGCACCCGCCGCCTCAGCTCTCGCCCTTCCTGCACCCCCACGGCCAGCAGGTGCCCTACTACCTGGAGAACGAACCGAGCGGCTATGCGGTGCGCGAGGCCGGCCCTCCCGCGTTCTACAGGTACCCGCGCCGCCCGCTGCGCCACGTCGGGATGGCAGCTGCGCGCCCCGCGGGCGGGAGGGGGGCAGCGGGAGAGGGGGCCGCGCGGCCGAGACCTCGCGGGAGGCCCTAGGCCGCGGGGCTGGGCACCCGGCAGCCGGGCCACGGGAGCCCCGCGACTCGCGGCCCGGCCGAGGCAGGGGGTTTAGGGTGGGGGGAAAGGGTTTGTGGATCTTGCTTTCCAAAGCCAAGTTCTCTCGCCTGGCAGCCTAAAGAAAATTCTATTCTCCACACCCGTACCATCTGCATAAGAGGCAGATCCAAAAACCCGTGGACGTCCTAATTCATTTTGGAAAATCATAGGAAGCGGCGGTCATTTGTTGGGGGGGGAGGGGAACCCCAGAGCAAATAAACACAAAGCTCTTGGAGTCTTTATTTAAGGCTAGAGGTGTGTAGGGTTAGCGGAGCTCAGAGTTTATTATCATTCTTCTTATTATTTGAAATTGTTTTAATGTGTTCGCGAAATTTCCTTTCATCTAGAATTTATTATTGGAAATTTGCACGCTATTATTGCGATGACGATGATTTTGTTTTAGCAAAAAGTGCTAGCACCTACTTCCCCACTTTCCTCTCCATCCCAAGTTGGAGGCTTTAGGATTGAATTGTGCCCCTCCAAAGAGCCGTAGAGGAATTGAATGAGTCTTAACAAGCTTCTGATTTCTGTGTTGTCTGGCCGGGTCCGTGCTGGAGCAGCTTGCTGGCGTATGACTTCTGACAGCCGAAAATTTATAGGTTTCTTGTGAGTTTAAAACATGCCGAATCCAAGAGTGTTTTGAAATAACTCTCCTGCCAGCTAAGTTACATTTCTGGCCTACCCGGCAGAGCGTGCCCGGGAATGGTATGCGGGGTCAGCTTCCTTGCGCGCCTTTCAGTCACTGTGGAAGTGTTAGTCGTCCAGGACATACAGGAACACGTTTGTGGCTTAAGTGGCCAGTGTTTTGTGTCCTTATATCTCCCACCCCATCCCTAAGGATTATGCTTTCCTCCCCTCCCTTCTCCCATTACCCCTTTGACAGTTTCTGCCTTCTCTTCCTGATGGACCTGGGCGTGGGGGGGGTGGTGCTTATGTTGGTGATTCTTATGAACACCTGTGCCCTAGGTACCCAATGTCCAGCTGTACTCTGGGGCGCCCACGTGGCTGCGCGTTGAATTAGGCACAGCCAAACTGCAGACTGGTGTCTGCACTTGCCTCCCACCTCCAACTGGACCCTTCTGCATTCCAAGCTGTGAACCGTTTTCTATTCGGTGTTCTAGTTCCAGAGAGATATTCAGAGCAGAAGAAATAGGAAGAAGGTACAGGTTGGCCCCAGAGGATACCGAAGGGCAACACTCTTGGGGTATCTGAGCGTATCCCATGTCCTTTGGCCCCTCAAATGACTTTGGAGCATCATCTCACAGCCAAACAGGTTCAGACTGAGTTATTACTTAAAAGACAAAGAATGAACAAAATTCAGAAAGCTGGCATTTTTGAAATTAATTTTATTTGTTTTAATTAAGGGTTAAAATGGAAAGAAAAAGAATTTATTCTCACTTTTTTTTTTGGAGTGTTAGAACAAAATATAACGATTAAGTCTTATTCATACAACCTTTTAAATTTCTTGATGTGAAGAAAGGCACTTGGTATGATGTGAATTCCATAACCTTATAGTGGACTCCAGAAACTATTTTCTTTTCCATATAATTTTCAGTTCTTTTATTGCAAATTAATCCTACTGAATTTCAATGGGTACTAATGAGACTGCTCCTCAGCAAATTATTTACTGCCTTGCTAATAATTACAAAGTGAGCATGGTCAAATAAAGAGGGGACATTTAATTCAAAATTGTTCATCATCTCCGTGGCAAATAATATTACTATAATATGCCCCATCTTAAACTTTTTGCATTAGATGGTATTCAAATATATTTAGAATAATGAAAAAAATGATGTGGAACTTTAATAATAAAGTTAAGAACTCATACACATGGGTTTCAATGCGGAAACTCAGTTTTATGATGATTTTTCCTTTGTAGTTTATTTCCTATAATGTCCTTACTCTTTGAATTCTGCCTCTGGGTAACCAGGGAGGAAGAGAGGACTCTGTACCCAGTATTGTTTCAAGTGGACAGATGTTATTTAATATTTTTGCCCGCTCAGTTTTCCTGTCTGAATAACTCTGGGTAAAAAGAAAAAAAATTGATTAGGCTCTTTTAGAAACCGTCTGTTACCTTCAGTAGTGACTAAAGTTTTGGGAGTTGAAAGCAGTGTTTTCAAACTGCTTGTTGTGATCCAGAGCAATGTGATATTGCTTAGTGAGTCCGGAACATTTTTTTTTTTTTAAGGAGTAAAATAGAAAATAATATAATAGAAAGTACCAGAACACATGGTATTTCATAAGGATGGGTTTTGTTTCCTGAAAATTTGTTTTAATTATACACACTCATAGGCTCCGACTCTTAAATAAAATGTCTTTCTTACCATAGACGTTTGAAAGTTAGTGGCCTAACGTGTTGTGCTCGATAAAAGACACAGAATTTGTGTGGCTAGTTGTTTTAGTTACACAAACCAAAAAGATATTTTGTCTTTATTTTATTTTCCCCCTTGAAATTAGCTGGTGTCTTCAGGTCCGTTAGATTAAGGTTTATTATTTCTGATTCTTAACTTTTCCATTTGTAACATGGTGTCGTCTTATGGATTTTCTACCTGAATGTTCCACTGGGATGTTTAAAGAATTTACATGAAGTTCACATCATTTAGCGTTAAGAAAGGACAGTGACTTATATGATGGTGACTTTCTTCTAGTGGTCACAATATGCAGCCATATCTATGTACAAAGAAATGTAATCGATCAAACTGCCCTGGGCATACCATAATGTGAGAAAGATTGTCACACGTCCCAACGAATTGTTGGGAGGAAATCTATTTGTAAACAGGCGAGCTGTGACTTTCCAAGATGTGTCTTACCTAAAATTTCATGACTGAAGGCGCCTGGGAGTCCTCTTATCCTCAGCTCCTTTTCAGTGTTCAAATTTCTTAGGAGGTTTGAACAAAACTAAAGATAAAACATATTATATCCACCATGTTTTTAAAAATTCAAGTTAAATACTTAGTGCTCCATGTTCATTTCAGTTTTACTACCCCATATTCTTAAAGGCTAAATTTTATGCACTTCTCCTCCCCACCTCCCATGCCCCCAAACTTGACAAGCACACAGATTTTAGCCTCAAAATCAATGTCTTAGTAATTTGTCTGCTGGCTATATGCATATTTTGAATGAATAGTGTGTTCGTTGGTGATCATTTAAAAACAATTTCTCACCTTTAACTAAGGCTCATTTCTAGGGGGACATTTGAAGAGCTAGTTTTCAAGTGTCCAGTCATTCTTTCCTTGTATGTAGATGATATTTTAGCACCCTTTATTTCTGTTCTTACTTATTTCATTCATTTAAGTTGTTACTCTTCCCCTGACATTTTGCATTGGTCTAAGAATAGTGGAAGGAGCCACATATTGTCTCGGGAATGAGTATATTTTAGGTTGAAAAACGGATTCACATCTTGAATCCCCATTTCATTTTCACCTACTGCATGTAGCTTGTACCCGTTTGGGAGAAAGTCCCCTGCGAGATAATTGCCACTTATTCTAATCTTCTTTCTCGCACTCAGTTAATTTAGATCCTTAGATTGCTTTTGTGCATGCACTCAGGATGTGACATCCCTAATTTGGGAAAATTCAGGTTTAGCATTTGGGTTTCTTATTGTTTTGAGAACATGAAAGACAGAAAGAAATCAACAATGACAAGAACAACAGATACCAGGAAAAACTGTAAAAGATGACACACTTGCTGTTAATGATATTAATAATTTTGTTAAGTGGAATAGGGCATAGGAAAGCAGCCCATAAGGGACACAAGCATTCAGCATTTCATTATTTCTTTCACATATTAATATTCATTCCGGTGCTTCTGTAAGCTAAAAGACAGTAGGAAAGAACAGACTTAAATGGTCAGGAGCTTCATTACAAATATAAATGAATGATAATGGGAAATCATTTTCTGTGGAAGTCAGATTTGAATAAAATCTTCACCACCATCTGCAACATGTGTTTGCAGCCTGGGTTATCATAAATACCATTTATTTATAGATACATTAAAAAAATTAAAACCCTGATTATGTGAAAATAGTTTTACATCGGGAAATATATGAGTTATAATTATATTTTTTCTAAAATACACATGCAGCACAAAATGAAAACATCTGACTCCTCCCTGTGACATCAGTATTATTTTTAATGTAACTTTAGATGAACCCAGTGTGTGGTACAGCGTGCTAAGTGTGTTCGCGGCTCTTCCAGGATCCATTGAATGGATAGGACAAATTAGTCATTTAGCTTAATTTCAAGACTCTGCTTGCTTTTTGAAGAAGGAAAACAGAATGACCACAACTAGTTAGAGCCAAGATGCACACTCCAGAGAAAGATGCTTTATAAATCCCCAAAATACAATCCACTCGAACACAAAGTGAAACTGAGGGATTTCATCGAAGGGAGCCAGCCCATCAGAGCTATCAAATAGTTTTGTTTTATGTTTTAAACTCTGACAATGCATTGACAGATAATGCCTTTCTTTTTTAAAGATATATTTGAACTGTTCCCTTCTCTACTCGTAAAATATTACCCATCACCCCCTACTGCCCTCGGAAATCTGAGGACCTCGGTGGGCTGGAGGCTAAGGGAAGCACCTTTATGATATGTCTTGGGGAAGACATCCTAATTCCTGAGCTCTGCACCTTGAAGAATGTTACTAGGAATTACAAGGGAAGCTTCACATCAATCGGCAACACTTTCAGTCACATGTGCATGTTCAGACCCTATTAGATAGAAGAAAGATAGAAAAGACAACGACTTTGGTCCCAACCGATGAAATTTTATGTAGTTTGGTAAAGTCATCATTTCAAGAAGCTAGCTCAACTAAGAAATGGTGTGGC